TACGAGAATTCAACTCTTTTGAACTATCACACGCGTCGTCGATGTCAGACCGAGGATTCCGAGGAATAAAATACAACTACGACGTCGTGACAATTCGCACACAAATCGCCATTTGCTCTCATCGTCTCATCGTTTCATTCTTCTCTTCGCGCGGCGAGGAATTACGCCGCGCGCAACGCCGCGATGCGCATTTTGATATTCGATACGCGACGGGACGCGGAATTGCATATTTCGCCGGACGCGAAGAATAAGCCGCGCGAGACCCATGCAGAGACCAGAGACGTGGAGGATGCAACACAAGGCGTGGTTGTTGTATGCACACGCGCGGCCTTACAACCGCATTCCGAGGCATCCGCGACGACGACGACGACGACGACGACGACGACGACGACGGCGGCGGCGGATACACGCGCGTACGTTTCCTATTTTAAGATAGGCCGCGAAGCTCGCGCGCCCTGCAACTCGTCACTTTTCCACGGTCGCGGCGTGTTCCGTCGGTCGACGCGGTTCGCGGAAATTTATGCCAGGGCGATTTCCCGCCTGCGTAACCGCGTGCGTCGTCGCGTTCTTTGTTTTTCTTCGCGGGGAAATCTCGGAAATCGTGGATGAAATCAACGCTATTCTTATTCGGATCGCGTAGTTTTCCGCGACCTCTTTTATGACAGATGTTACACGATATAAAATGCGCGATGTGTAAACAGATGTATTTAAAAAATGCTGAAAACTATAAAACAAATATGTGCGAGTAATAAAGATTCTAAAGACAATATATATTTTTCTATTTTTAACAATTACCATTTTAACATCCTTTGGAATCTGTGATCTGTGATCTTTTCCAGAGATTTACGACGTTTTTTTCATGTATATTTTATTCAGTTAATTATTACGTGCCTTTATGTAACCTTGTTTTTTTTTTCACATAACGTACTGTTTATTACGTTTTAATTTATGTATGTATATTTTTTTAAATTTATGTATGTATATTTTTTTTAAGTGTCGGCTGAAGAAGCACATAAGTGTGTTAGTGCAGATACGTTTCGTTTCAGATTGCGTATGTAACATAAATCGATATTAATTTTTAATGTTTTAATTTTCAGGTGTTGCTCGCTTTCGGCCTTTGATCTTTTTAAAACAATGATTTGTATCGTTTTTGTGATGCGCGCGCGCGCGCACGCACACAGAACCGAAATTTTAACACAAATCAAGTAAATCAAGAACAGACGACATTACCTAACTTCGCTCTACAAACATGCAAACACGCTGATAACGTTGCGTTGTAAAAAGTGTCATTGTACGAGACATGTCGTAATCAAGTTTTTTACGATGCAAGATAGATTGTTCCGTTCGTTGCATACTAAAATTCTCCTCTTATCTCTCGCGAAACGAAATTCAAAGGCAAAGAAATGCGCATTTTGCTCCGTGTATTTTTTTTTGTTTTTTTTTTTTTAAGTACAAAAATTAAATGTTTGCGGATTAGAGCGAGAAAAAAGTTTGATTATCTGTCGAATTAGTAAAAACAAAATAAATAAATCACAAAATTTCGCGCGATTTGTAGATGCGCGATTTTGCTAATTATAGACCGCAGCACGTGGACGCGCCAGATTTTATTGAATAAAAGTTAAAACTGAATCGAGAAGCGGAAGACACGATCTGGCAACGGGAATCAATTACAATCGAATTGACAACAATTGAATCTCTCTCGAGAGAGAGAGAGAAAAAGAGAGAGACACTTGACAAATATCCTCGTGTTGTAATCAAAGATAAAAAATACATATTTTCCGTATTTGTGAATTCCGGGAATTCACAAATCTTCATCGTCGCGCCGTTTTTCACGATTTCAAATTTCATATTTCTCGCGATTCATTTACGATTCGCTTTACGATTCGCGCAAATTTTATTACGTATTTGTTAAATATCGCGATTGCAAATTGACACAAAGCCGTACCCGCTCACACATCAACGACTTCCACTTCGTTAATCCGATGTATGTATCCCCGTCGCGTATTGGAAAGTCGCGCGAACGTGCCATTGTACAATTTGAAGCTTTAACGTAACACATTACTTCGCGTGTTACGCTCCAAGAAATACGATAATGATAATGACTTGTATTCGCGCGCATTTATTCCGAGCGTGTTCTGTACACACACAGGATTCTCACCTCGCGCGTCTACATCAAAACGTGTTCGAACTCGTCGAAGTTGAGAGAGTGGAATAAAAATCGCGGCGAGCGGCGCACATAATCGATACGGGCATTAGTTCCATCTGAAATTTATTAGCAGCAACATAACGTCGAAACGTTGACGATCTTGCGAGATCGTTTTTGCAAGAGCCCGGTTCCGTGATTATCCTTTTTTTCTTTTTCGCGTTTTTTCATCAGTCCTCTTCCCGTATGGATTAATCAACTTTTAACGATTCGTCCATCTCGACTTTTGTCTCGTAATATCGATAGGAGCGACTCGTCAAAGTTTCATTTTTGACAAAACATTCGTTGAATGAAAAGCCTTTTTTTTTATATTCTTTTAACATAAAATTCACGTGAATTTTCGCAAATTGAAGCGGCGCCACTATTGCTTCTCGCTCCCTTCGGCAAATTTATATTTTATTAAATGTTCCACATCACGTTGTATATAATGTTTACGCAAGAAATTGCGATTTACGAGTTACAAAAATCACTTTTCAGGGAAACGCTTAATTAAAAACGTTAACAATATATATATATATATTGAATAAATAAATATTTGTTTATAAAACCTAGAAAAATGGAAATGGCAGAAGTAATTCACGTGACTGTTAGCGTGATGTCGAGTAGGCTGATTGTTTATCTTTGTGTCTCTCCTCAAAGAGGAGCTAATCGATACTTTATTCCCCGGCAATCCGCCCTTTCCTCAGCCGCTCCCATCCCGATGTTTCGCGCGGCGCATTGATCGATATTTTATTCTCAGCGAATTGTTTATTCCTAATTTTCCGTTGGACCTTCCTCATAAACTTTCTGTGTCGCTGCGTAATTAATTTCCACGCCGCATCCTTTGATCTCCGAACGTTCACCGTGGCAAATTGCGCCATCAACGAATGCTTTATTGACTACGAACTTCAATAGACGATATTTCAATAGCAATTGCAATATGGGAAATTGTTAATTGTTATTAGGTTTATTTATCCCCTATCTCTCTCTTTCTCTCTCTCTCTCGTTTCGTTTTAAATACACTATAACCGTATCACTTAAATATAAATAGGAAATTAATGCGTCGTATTATTTCGAAACGAGAAATTACACAAAGCAAGAAATTATGATCAAATTAATAATTAATTACGAATTGTTAATTTGATTATCATAATTTTTCTTTTTTTGTGAAATGAACGAAACCGACTGACGTATCAATCAATATCAATCAAATCGTCATATAATACATAAGTTTTTTTACTTTTTCAAAATATTTTCTTAACTTATCGATAAACAAAGGAGGCAAATATTTCCTCATCGTCGTTATCAATATCACGCATTTGTTTTTAATCCAAAAACAAATTTGATTTGCTAAATCAAAAAAAAAAAAAAAAAAAGAACTCAAATGTAAATATACCGCAAAAGTATATACAGGACACCCAGTATGTATGCGGTCGGCGCGGTGAAACCTCCAACGTCGCGTTACTCGTTGAATAACTTTCCTCCGGCTAATCAATCTTCGAGGTCGGATCGCGTTTTTGTTATCTGCGCGTGCGATCGACGATCGATACGCGGCGCGCATCGACGCTTAATGACAATGACATGAGGAACGCGGCGCGAGGGCTTTGCACATTACCTCTCTCTCGGACTAGCGACTTGCAGCGGCGGCGAATCGATCGAAACCACCACCATTGTACGACAATGTAACTGGAAACAGCGGCATATTGCTGCTTAATAGATAGGATTATCGCAGCCGCTTAATCATCAGCCGCGGTCTCTGCAGCGCCCGCTGATGGCCTGTCTGGCACAACGGCCTATTGGCATTTTGATCGAACATCCCGCGGAAGCATCTCATTGGCGATCCTGCACGCGTAATATCGGTATTGGAGCATCAAGGATCCATAAGCCGATCGAGCGGAAGAAAAAGCTTCGTCACCCGTGGATTTTTCTAACGGTGTCAACAATACGCACACATCTTGCGATCGATCGCTCACATGTTCTTAAGTTTATTCTTAGTATATGTTTATCTTATTTGTGTTTTCTCGCTTATTTACAACAAATTTCAGCTCATGTGATATCAAACTAGCGAGGATTAATTGCGTCACGTGTACAAGATCACCTTGGGAGATCGATTCCGAGGAGTTGTTCGACTCCTGGCCAAGGTGTCGCACAATGAATTTTCTAATTTCTATAAGAGAAGAGAGAAATAAATTGGATATTTCATTTACGTGTGATGCAAACCAGCCTAGAATTTTTAAATTTTCAAATTGAATTTCATTCAAATTATTAACGTATTAACTTACACGTTTAAAATAAAATAAAAAAAATATATATTTCGCACAAAGTTAAGATATTGGCTCGGATCAAATTATCTTCGCTATTGATTTTAATATGAGTTTTTAAGGACACACTGACACATGTGACAATATCTGACGATTATAATTATTATTATTAATGAAAACGTATTTTTTCTCGGAGACTTGCTCTCTTCGAATTTTTTTCTACTGGCGCGTATTTTATTCAATTGTTAATTTACCGCGTCTTTATATTTTTTTGTTTCCTTTTTTAAAATATTTTTTAAGAACAAGGCTTGAATTAAAGCCGAAACGTGTCGGAAATTTGTTTTTTATATTTTAATTTCGCTCCTACATCCTGCGACCGAATTGGATTCATATTACAATAACCCCCGTTACAAACCCCCCAAGGAAATCCTCTTTCGAAAGTTTTCGATTGCAGACTCGGAATTCAATATATGTAGATGAATCGTCGCGTTGCCCCCGCACTTCCGTGCGAGTTCCGTGTGAAATAATAGAAGCGACATTTTCGCTCGGTGACTTACCAGATATTGAGGAACTTCTCCCGAACTTTCCGCTTCATGCTGTCACTCTTCCGACGATACTGCAATCTGCGGCAAGAATCCATATAGATTGGCTCCGGAAGCTGCTTGCAGAAACCTGCGGAAGACAGCGATTTCCAAGGATTAAGTTTCTTTGAAGAACTTCGTCGGGGGTCATTTTGTGTGAGACTTTGTGAAAAGCGCGCGAAAGCGCAATTAACTTGTGTGGAACACAACTATAAAACGGAAATATACGCAAGTATATGTGTAAATGTGAAAAACCACAGTTTTCTCTGCAATCCCTTTGAATAATTTTTCGCGATAGAACAATGAGAGAAAAAAAGTCTTACGAGAAGAAAAATGAAAACTTTCTCTTTTGCCGATTCCTAAACAATTTTCTCTCTTTTCTCTTAATAACAAAGAAGTTTTCTGAATCAAATGTTTCAATAGCGTTTGCACAAACAGATGTTAGTTTCGGTTAGTTGTAACTTTTCAAGCTGAGCCGAACTATAAAACGACATTAATTAACGTTAATAATCGCGAGATCGTGGAACTTTCCTCGCTCATGCGCGAGGACCACCTTCGCGAGACGAGAAATCTGAGAAGATAGGAATAACTGGAACGGATTCCTTGCATGGACAAATATTTATTCAGCGGCCGCAATCCAAGCATGCCGCTGTTTATCCGCTCGTATATCCGTCACTGATTTCAGATCGCCGATCGTAAAATTTTCCGCCAAACTTTTTATATCTCATCAATATGGCCGATCTATTCGATTTTAACCCGCGAAAGCTCTGGTTCCTCAATGTCAGCGCGGAAAATAAAGTCTTGGAGGAAATTTTTTATCATGACGATTCGACGAGATTGCATTGCGGAACAAAACGCGAGAGAGGTCGAGGATTCATCCAATCTCGTAGATCGGAAATGATTTATCAAAAATGTCGGAAAAGGTTTCGCTCATTTTATCTTATCGTCTTCTGCCCATTATTTCGTCATGTGTGTCTACTGTTCCTTTTATTTGTATATAAATATATTTTGTTGCCTCAATATCGCAATACATTGTCTCAATTAAATTTGATACCCGTAAGTTCAGAGAGAGATTACTCTCAAGTAGTTGTTTGTTACATGAAATTAAATTACGATAACTTTTTCAATCTGCTGATGGAATTGCTGCGAGATAATTTAAGATAGTTCAGGCGAATTTTCCCCCAAATGTTCAGATGTTGTTCGAGAGTTATTTTGCAAGTGGATTGAAACTGCGCACATGCGCGCATTAACTAAAAATATATATTTTTTGTCATTTATTTCACCCCCGCGTCTCAAAACACACGAAAAATAATTAAATGTAAATATATTTCAAACGTGTTGGCAGGAATTTGGCCACATCCATTATTTTGTTAAATGTCCGACATCGAAAAATAAATCAAAAAATAAACAAGTAAGTAAATAAAAGTAGAAATAAGTCTGTTATCTAGTAATGGGCATTAAAAAAATTGCGTTATTGAAACAATAAAATTTCTATCAACTTCAGTGTACAAGACTTTGAAATGCGCTAAATATAAAATTACTTAAATTGCGCATCTCCTATGAACATCGGACGTGAAAGAGAAATGTAAAAGCGCGGTTTTTGAAAAGAACTGAGGATGCGCGCCCGGGACATTTTTCGCCTCGCCTGTTTGAACGTGGCGCAATGCAATTTAAAATTCTTTGCGTTTCAAACAGAACGCAGGAATTAACTGACACAAATTTTCCGTATACGTCGTCGCCACGGTATACATTATATCTGCTCGCGTAATTAACGCTACAGAGTAAGTACCGCGACAATAAATCAATTTTAACAGTCGCGTGCACCTCGCCGCATTAGGATAATGGACTCGCGAAAGCTCATTATCATATATATAACCATCGACGGATATAATGACGGCCGGCCGCACCGCCGGTCATTTAATTTCGCTAATGTTCGCTATTTGTGTCAAAAAATTTATATTATCCACGGAATTTCTGTTTCCCGTGTGTGCGGTGAATTATCTCTCATTTACATTGCGCAGTCGCGGCTGCGAAATCCGATTACGAAATCAAATCTTCATCTTTCTAAAAAAATCTTTCAATTGACTGACTAATCAATAGTGTTGGATGATAACGTTTGAAATTGAGCATTTTCGCACATTTTTTATCGTTGTGAACGAAAATTTCTGGGGAAATATAACAAAAGTGTTTTCGCTCTCACGAGTCCGCGAAGTTCGACGAGCTATTTTGAGAACACGCTGTGTGCACATTTAGGAACGACGTAATTCGATTACTTACTCAGCCAGCTCAGCTGATCGTTGTTCTCCAATTTGTTCTTGAAACTGTCCACTTGGCGCCTCAGTTCTCGCAGCGCGAGGGAAGGTGTTGCGCACAAAGCTTCTTGATGCTCCCGCAGTTGCCGCTCTAAAGCTGCCACGCGCCTCTCCAGCGCCCAAAGCACCTCCGCCTCGATCACCCCCGAGGAAGCGGGGTGCGCGCCAACGATCTTAAAAAAGCGCACGTTCAGTTATCGCAATTACGTGACGAAGTACCGCGCGCTTCGCACACATTTGCGCGGAAAACAATATCTCACAGTGTATGCGTTGCATTTTTTCTTGTTTCGATCGAACCAAATAAGTTTAAATATCAGAAAACATTCAGATTTTAACGTGGGATTCTCTCAGTTTAAAACAAACACGAGTCAATAATTAGATATTGTGTAATTAATCTCGTTATTAACAGACGTTTCGATCTCATTTTCTGGAATCTTGTTCAGTGTGCGATAGTAATTCAGTTTGTGTTAACAAATTTATTCAGAGTTCAGAAAGTAAACGTACATAAAAAATAAAAATGACGATAAATAAAATACGCAATATCGCGCACGCGCACACAGATAACGTAATTACTTTTGAGAGAAGTGTAATCAAAGTTTTCACAGTAAACCAATTTTGGCCGCCTAAAACCGAGATAAACTTATAACAAACTTTACTCCGTCGATATTGATTCATTACGTGCGAGGCTAATTACGATAACGATTCAGTACACAAACTGAATGCTTATTAGTCTCGAGCAGAGAGCGTGACTTTTGCTTAAAATAAAGTGTTGTATTTTAGATTACACTCATTACCTAATATTTGTTTTACCATCGGTCATCGCATTTTTAGAACAAGAAAACAATTTGTACGAAGCAACTTACAAAAAAAGTCAGAAAAAACAACTTATTAACACTTTAAGTGCATTTCGATTCCTGCGGGACCCAAACCCGAAGAATGTTAAAATACTCGAGTATTTGTTTGCAATTATAAAACTACATACAAACAAATACTCCACCGCGTGCAAAATAAAATAAAATAAAAAAACTACAAAATAGCTTACCTGAAGAACATAGGGCGAGTCGGGCGTGTTACCCGGCAGATGAGTCGAAATGTTGTAGAGCTTGTCTCCTTTGCAAAGCTTCACGATGTCCAGAGGGCCAGCCTCTGCCGCGGTTCTGAAGATTTCTGCAAAGAACGACCCACAAATTCTTTCTAATCAGATAAATGAAAACAAAAAACTCTCGTGTTTCGTAATATTATAAACCTCTTATTTTTTAGTTAACTTTTTGTAACTGTTTTTGTAATTGTTTTGTAATTGTTTGTATAAAAAATAAACTTTTCTCATTCAAGATCTCTTTGCGAATTTTTTTTTGTTTCTAGTTTACGAAGCATCGAGAAACAGTGATGCAAAAAAAGAGTCGCTCCGGGGAATAACAATAAATTAAAAAAAAAAAAAAACCCTCATATTTTAAAGTATTATAAGTCTTTTGTTATTTAGCCAACTTTTGTAATGGTTTTTTTTTTTTTTTTGTAAAAAGTAAACTTTTCTCATAAGATATCTGTCCTTCGCGAATGTCTGCGTCTGTGTGGTTTACGAAGCGACGAGAAACAGTGATGCAAATGAGTCAACCCTCGGGGAATAACGATCGGCAATAATTCACGGAGAATAACGATCAGCGCTGTTACAGGACAGGTCTTTATTTCTCGGGAGCGCGTAAGTAAAGTGACAGTTACGTTACCGGTTCCCGCTATTAACCGTTCGTCGTTTACTACCGTTCATCGTTTAAAGACGATATTAACTTTATTAAACGCACATCCCGCTGGCACAACCCCGAGATCTCGGTGGCGTCGCGCGGCTGCTTTCCTCTTCTCCCCCCTCCCCCCCCCAATTACGTCAGGCTCCCCTCCGGCAAACGGACGGCGTATTAAATTACACGTGCGAAAACTGTAAACGCGCGCGGGCGTGCGCGGATTTTTGTCTCGCCTCGGATAACATCGCGAACGTAAAACTCTCCTGGGCGATCGTATCAAACGCGGACTCCTCGTCGGACATTTTGCAAGTGCGCGTTTTGCGCTCTTAATCGAAAGCAAATTTACCACCGGCCCGCTCATGCGATTCAACGAACTTGTGGCACAATATTATTGCGTCCCTTCAATTACAGGATTGTCGACGCTGCGTCGACACGACGCTCATAAATGTACCCTTCCGTCTCTCTGTCTTTCTAGTTCGCCGCTGTGTAAATGCTGACTACTGTAGAAGTACATACAACTCAAACGGATAGAGAGAGAAAGAGAGAGAGAGAGAGTTCTGAAGCACAATTATTCAATTCACATCAGATCCGATACTTCTTCATCTTGCGATTAAGAGAAAAAACAAATTTTTAACCTTAAATTTCGAACAAAAGACACAAAAAGATCCCAAATTCAATTAAGATTAAATTGATTTATTTATAAACATATACGTTTCAAACCTATGTTTGTAGTACATGTTGTTTATATTTTGAAATAAACAAGATATACAGAGTGTCCTGAAAACTTTTGACACACAGCCGAGATGCGATTCTGTATATAATTTGTCAATTGTAAAGAGAAATGACTTGTGCAATGTCGTGAACAACGAGAAGTGAAGCAAACAAACGAGCACGCGACACACACAGCTTTTTACGATCAGTTGATTTTCGCAACTGCAAATCATACACGTCACCCGCAGAGTTCGGACCATCGTTTTCCATAAGGCTCACATTCGTCAATTAATAACTGACTAAATATTGCGAATTTTGCAAGATGATAAAAATAATTTTTCCGTTCAGATCGACTCGATCTATCTTCATAATTTTGGTTTTGCGTCAAAATTTTTCAGACACCCTGTGTATATAAATCTCTCGTCAAAGGATATTGATCTCGGTGTTCTCTCGAACGAGAACATCATGTGTCGTGTGCGCGCACAGCACAGCACATGCAGTTCGAGTTCGCATCGCCGCAAAGAATAATACTGAAAAAACTCCGCTTCAAAAATTCGCTGAATAAATGATACAATCCGACGAGAGAACCGTGCATTTTCAACCTACCTATCTCTATCTATCTATCTTGGCTACATGAGGCAGACTGAAATATTGAAAAGCATAACACGCGCGAGAATACATATCCGGCTTTAAATTCAACAACAACGTGCACTCGACATGCACAGCTTCCGCAGTGGTAGCTAATGAATGATTTTCCGAATTTTGCCTCGTATTTAATATATTAAGCGACATGTAAAAGATGAAGAGATATATCGGTCTAATTAATTCCACGGGATGAGAGATGTGATTTTTCTCTGTCTCGCGATTATATGCGTCAACCGCACAAAAGTATCAAACGATAATATATCTGCTGATAATTTTCCTGATTCGAATTATTGTCGCGGATCGATGAGACACCACGGCGTATGAGGTGTCTTGAATACCGCGTCTCAAAATGTGTGTCCGAAAAACGAACTAATTTTATTTTCACGGTGACGATCTCGATGCAAAATGCACGTTCCGTTCTCGCGTGAAAAATGGTACGGCAAAATCTCAGCACGGTCATTTATAAAGAGTTGTGCCCTTTTCACGCCGTCTCCCCCCGGACTGACGTGCGCGCCTTCGGGATGAAATAAAAGTATTCCGTACACGTATATTCACTCTCTCTCTCTCTCTCTCTCTCTTTCTCTGTCCGTTGAAAACGTCTCTCGCGAGCAAGAAAACGGAAACACGTGTTGGTTCGTGTGACGAAATACGAGAAATAGTCGTTCGTATTTCACGGATTTATCTGGAGATGAAATAGAACAACCTCCGAATGAAAACGCTGTCACGAATTTCGGCTCGCACGTTTTACGCACACCAGCGCCATTTCTGCGGAAATTGTAACCGTTTGAACCACGATCCCGAGAGAAGAATAGTTTCGCAGTGAAAAACAAACCCTATCGGTTATTATCGTCAAACATCGGTCTCTGTTTCCGTTTTTTTTTTTTTTTTTTTTTTTAGCGACGCACAAAGTGGCTTTACACGATTACCGAAAGCTGGAAAAATCGAAGTACAAACGGCGTCCGGTGGTGCTAAAAATTTAAACAAATATTCTCCTCCTCTTCTCTCTCTCTCTCTCTCTCTCTCTCTCTCTCTCTCATTCTTGTGTTTTAATATTACTGTTTTTTTCTTTTAATCTCTATTGTTTATATTTTTATTTTACATTTTTATATTATTATACATATATATTATGTCGGTTTTTCTTTATTTATCAATCTGTTTTATTTTTTATTGTATATTGTTAACATAATATATTATTTTGCTCTAATTTTTTATTTATTTGTTTTCAAGTTTTCGTTGTTGTATTTTATACATTTCAATCTATAAATGTATATTTGGTAATTGTAAATCAATTACGGCACAATCGTAGAAAAAAAGAAAATAAAAAATTTAAATAAACGATAAAAAAAAATCTGGTCTATTTATAAACATATATTTTTCTATCTTTTCCTCTTTTTCTCTCTCTTTCTCTCTCATTTCAAGGCAATCCGTCATCATCAAACTTGAACGGTAAAAATAATAAACACAGAAAATGGGAAGGTTTACATTGCCAAAAAAATATCTTACAAATACCTTTTCCTTCCGTAAATTCCGCCCACAGATAAAAACACGTTACGTTGTAACTTCACGCACATCTCGAATTCAAAGCGACCATGCCGTAGCGTATGCACATACGTCAGCTATTTGCATAGCTGTTCACAGACACGGAAAATATCTTAGTATTACATGTACTAATTATCGCAACCTTCCCAAGCTGCCGGTCGCAGTCGTCGCGGAATTATGGTTGCAAATACGAGGAATGCTAAAGCGCATAGCGCGAATGCAGCGCGTGTCCGCCACGCCTACGCATTGAATTTGAGATGCTAATTGACCCCGGAAAATCGCTTGCAATGAGAGAGAGGGGGGAGATTGCACTTGTGACAAAACAGCGGATTTACAATTCGCGCTAAAAGCGCGCAACAAAATTCGTTGTAAATATGATACAGACACAACGCGAGTGCCTGCGCGTGAAACTGCTTGTTTGTTTTTTATTATGCGGCGACGCGTGTCAATAAAATCGGTTTTTCAATTAAAAACCGATTTTAGAGCAAACAATTTTCATTAATATCGCCGATTTCGTCGAGGTTCATATGTTGCGCGATTTTGTTTTTTTTTTTTTTTTTTTTTTTTTTTTACGTGCTCTAATATCGTTTCTCCGGTTTTCAACGGCTTCACCTTGCGCGATTTTTTGACGCAAATCGAAAAACTGAGATCGACCGCACGAACAATGTACGTTTGCGCGATTCTACGTAAGAGCGAGTAGAAATCTAACGTAAACAACGCTCGTTCGTAAAATTTCGGTTCAACAAATTGATCAGCGAATCAACAGTTTACCATTGTCTTCACTGAGAAAAATCCGTCAAGGTCATTGACCTCCGAGAGATCCGTTTTTGTATTTACTAAATCTGTTCAACACTACAATTGTATACAACATAACTTAATTTAAAACTTTACTTAATTATAATGAGTTTTTAAAAATTGATTATTTTTCACTGTTCGAGCAACTAAATATTGTGTCAACATCTTTTTCTACTATAAATTAATCAGTTTATAGTTGAGTATTTTTTTTTTCACTTCAAAATGCTTATCGCGCAAAAGCTGAAATTATAAGAAAAGGCTGAGTTCCCAGCACATATGTAGGTACGTCTCGTACGTACCGTCGCGCTGTTTATTGTTTTCAAGTTGAATATTGATTATCGATTTCTGACAAGAGAGAAATCGTGTATGTTTTTAATACACGCGAATTGCCGCGCGCGAGCGGAAATGCGATCGCGCAGAACACAAAGCCAATTGTTTCATCGACCACCGCACGGAATATTCGAACCAACACACTCGTAATGGGTTTATATTTTCAAAGAACAAACTTTTCCCGATCATTTTCCGCGAGAAACAATTTTTCTCTTCTCTCTCTTCGCGGTTATTTATATATAACAACAATTTCTGAAAAACTTGCGCGGAAATAAGAAAACTATTGAACTTCTTCTTGTCCACGTGTGAAACGCACGAAAATATTGCAATAAAATAACAACATAGATTTTATCGTCTCTTTCTCTCTCTCTTTGAGCATACGATAGCCAGAAATAAATATTTGCTCGGCGCATA